ATCAGCCGAAACATTTATTTATAAGTAACAAATACATATTCTATAAAAACATAATTAAAAAGTTTAGTGCTTACGGAAGCGCTTAATTTTCGTCACTGGTCTTCGCTTTTTTCATCACGCTTTGCTCATTTTCACCTGCAGATCGTTTAAAAAAAACTGTCCAAGGAAGTTTGTTTCTTCCTCCCTTTCAGGATATTGCGGAAAAGAGTTAAGCAAGTTTCGTTGAACAACTCCGACGCACGACCAGTTACAACTTTTTCGGGGTGATTTTTATCCACAAACTCTACAACTTCCTCCCACATTCCCAAGATCTCCTTTATATCTCTTGTAGGGATAATCTCCTCCATCTCTGGCTCCTCTTCAAAACTAATTTTTTGTTGAACCACTGTATGCTGCTGCGAATGTAGATCATGTGACTCCTCGGTTGTCAGCTCCTGAGACTGTTCCTCGAACAGTTCGTTCACATCTCTCTCATCCACCTCCAGACCCATGGATTTTCCCAGAGAAACTATCTCCTCTACCACTGACACTTCGGATTCTAGTCCTTCGAAGGCCCTTTCAGCTACAGCCTCAGGCCACAGCTTCTTCCATGCAGAGGTTAAGGTCCTTGTTGTAACACCCTCTCAGGCCTGACAAATATTTCTTAGGCATATCACAATGTTAAAGTGGTCCTTCCAGAACTCTCGAAGGGTAAGGTTTGTATTCTCCATCACTTCAAAGCAGCGCCGAAAAATGTGCTTGGTGTACAACTTCTTAAAATTTGAAATCACCTGCTGATCCATGGGTTGCAGGATAGGTGGTGGGTGGATGGTAGGTAGAGAACCATTTATAAACTTGAACTCTTCGAGTAAATCATCTTCGAGGTTTGGTAGGTGAGCAGGGCATTGTCGAGGAGAGAAGGGCTTGCATGCGTAGGTTGTTTTCCTGTAGATATTTTTTAGCAGAAGGGCCAAACACCAGGTTTATCCACTCCACAAAGAATTTTCTGGTGACCCATGCCTTTGGATTTGCCCTTCACATAATTGTCAGTTTTTCTTTTAAAATCTTATGTGATTTAAAGGCTCTGGGATTTTCCAAATGGTATATTAGCAGAGGCTTGATTTTGCAGTCGCCACTCGCATTGCCGCAAAGTGCTAGAGTTAATCTATCCTTCATGGGTTTGTGATCTGGCATCGTCTTCTCTTCTGCCGTTATGTTAGTCCTATTTGGCATCCTTTTCCAGAAAAGCCCCGTCTCATCACAGTTGAAGACTTGCTAGGGTATGTATCCTTTGGCTTCTATCGGTTCGGAAAACGTTTTGATGTAAACCTCAGCTGCCTTCATATCCGAACTTGCTGCCTCACCATGTCTGACGACGGAGTGAACGCTGGTCCTTTTTCTAAAGTTGTCAAACCAGCCCCGGCTGTCTTTAAACGAGTCTTCCGATTCCTCGTTTGGAAGTGTGTGGGATCTGCTTCAGCAAATCACCGTAAATCGCTCGTGCCTTCTCACATATGATGCTTTGTGTTAAGGTTCCTCCTTAAAGCTGCTTCTCTGTCACCCACACCATCAGTAGTTTCTCCATCTTTTCATGGAGAGAGGTCCGGAGCTTAGAAATTATTGTAACGCCCTTAGCTGGCATTATATACCCTTTATCAACTCCTGTTTAAGCACAGTACATATCATTGATGTGCTACGCCCGTACATCCTCGCCAAGTCAATTACTCACACACCTTGCTCATGTTTTTCTGTGATTTCATGCTTTAATTCAATAGACATCATCTTCTTCTTCAGACCCATGGTTATAAAAATAAATGTGATAATGTTTTGTAAATGTACAAAAAGCAAAAACGGCGGACCTAACTTATCAAAAATGCTTTGAAAACGAGGGAAACAAGCACACAGACTGAGGTGGAAGAAACTGTTAGACGCTGGAAATGTCACCAACATGCGAAGTACTGCCCCATTTTTTTTTTTTTTTTTGAGCAGTGTACATTGGATACATATGTATTTTGGTCTAAGTGGTTAATGAGATAGGCAAACAATAAATACTTATACATTAAAAGAAATGAAACACTGATAAAGCAACTGGCCCATTAATGCAGAAGATGACAATGAATACACGTAATCGTGTGTCATCCTGTATGACTATACATAAACTACAAGAAATGATATGCATAAACACATACAAATGATGGCAATAAATGAAAATACATAATCATGCATTATTCTACTGGGCTATGCACACATCAATAACAATGATACATACACACCTATACGTTGACAGAAATGATACACTGAGAATGAAAATTGTGTATCAGTGTGAACGACGACAATTAATGGTTACACATATTCATGTATAACCTTACTTGGCTGTACATATATATTAGTACAAATGATGCACTTGAACACTTATACATTAATGGAAATGAAATACTGAAAATGGCACTTGTACATTATACGATAGATGAAGAATAATGGTAACACGTAATCATGTATCATCCTAAGTAGCTATACATACAGTAATAGAAATGATACACTTATACATTTATAACATGGTAAATGATGCATTTATACATTAATAGAAATGGTAATGGAATGGTGAAATTTTCACATTAATACGAAAGATGACAATGATAACACATAATCATGTATAATCCTACTGTGCTATGCGTACATGAATAGAAATAATACATATTAAACACCTGTAAGTTGACAGAAATGTTGCACTGAGTGTAATGCTTGTGCATCATTGCAAGAGATGACAATTAATATATACACATAATCGTGTAGTGTCCTATGTGGCTATGCATACATTAGTAGAAGTGCTACACTTAAACATTAATACTAGAAATGACACACTGAAGATACTTGTGGATAAATATGAAAGATGAAGATTAATAAAAATACATGAACATAAATTATTCTACATGGCTATGTATACATTACTAGAAATGAAACCTTTAACACCTATACATTAATAAAACTGATACACTGAATTGTGTATTAAAGCAAAAAATGACAATTAATAATTATACATAATCGTGTGATATCCTACATGGCAATATAGACATTAGTAAAAATGATACGCTTAAACACTGATACATTACTGCAGAAGATGCACTGAAAATGTTGCTTGCACAGCAAAACGATATATGACGATTAGTGATAACACATAATCCTGTGTTATTCTACATGGCTTTATATACATAGACAGGGATGGTACACTTAAACGAATGATGTGCGTCGGATACAAAAGTGCGTTGATCTAGATAGTTAAAACTAAAGTAATGGTATGCAACAATTGTTGATGATGCACTGGTGATTAATGAAATAATGAATGGCAATTAATGACATAGGTAAGAATGAGTGACAATTAATGAAGGCACGATACATAAGCACATTGCCATAGGTACATTGGATATAAAGGCTGGTTATGTGAAAAGGATAGAGTTGTGGTTAAGCCGAATCACACAAGTCCTGGCCTAATGCTTGCAGTCTGTCCATAATACTTTTGAGTTTTTTAAGTACTGCTGGTTGGCGAATAAAGAATCTTTTATAGGCTGGATCTGTGTTGTAACACGGCATGTGCCACTCTCGTGTTAGTGGGCAGGAGGTGACATAATGGTCCGGGCTACCTGGCTGGCCACACACACAGATGTTGGTGTTTGTTATTCTTCATTCTAGAAAATATTCTGGGAATGGATCATGACCCGTTATAAATCTGTTGATGTGTGGCTGGGATATTTGTCTGTCAAGGCTGACTTTGTGAGCAAATTCATAGGTCCTTCTTCCTTGCAGAATAGAATTCCACTCTTCCTGCCATTGCTTGAGTGCGGTGTTTAGAACAGCCTTCTTTACATAGGTTTTTGATAACCTTTATTGCCAGTTGTTCCGCATCGAGATTGCTCGCTGCTTCTTTGGCTAGTAAATCTGCCTCCTCATTCCCCTGGTGTCCAGCGTGTGCTTTAATCCAGAAGATGAGGATGAATCCTTCGTACTGGTGGATGGGCGACCTGTGAAAAGGGTTCCGAATTGCATAAATTGCTGACAGGCTGTCGGTGTGCAGTGGAGTAGCTAAATTGACTCGCTGCTAGGATTGCCTGGTGTATGGCTTAGGCTTCCTGAAAGACTGAGTTGCCTGCGCCCAGAAAGCCTTTCCAAGACCTTAAGGTGCTTCCATTTCGTTTGATGGTATAGCTACAGCCTGTCGTTCTATTCACCTGGAAGCCATCTGTATAAGTCTTAAGGGCATTAGAGTGATCGTTGTTGTCTTTAAGCATCATTGTATAAGCATGGACATTCTTGCAGCAAAGGGCCGTGTGTACTTCCACAACTTGTAGATTGTTCTCAGAATCCTCCGGTGAGAAATGGAGGTTCTGGTATTGGGCAGGTTGCTTAAGGAAAGTGACTTTTGCGATGACCGCTTCCATTTGGGCCCATATGTGCAGTGGAATAAGTCCAGCCATCACTGTGGCTGCTGCAGTCCTGTAGGCCCTTGTGATGGCCAAAACAAATCGACGTTGAACGCTGTTCAAAATTTGTTGTTTCCTCGTAGTCATTGGAAGTGCCCATGTGGCCGCCCCATAGATAGTATTTTTTCGACAACTGTGCTGTATATGATCTTTAGAATGTGGGGCTGGAGCGTTAATGCGTTGAGCTTGCATATGAGGGAGCCAAGAGAGTTTTTCATCGATTAATAAGCCGAGAAGCTTTAGTTCTTTCACTCGCTTTACTCTCTTTTGTCTAAGGTTAATACATGGATTGTGAAGGAGTGTCTGCCCAGGTTTATGGAATATTATATATTTCGACTTGAGCTTCGAGATTCGTAGTTTATTTTGGTTGCAGAGCATGTCAAACTGCGAGATGACGTCATTGCAACAGGCTTCAAGAACGTCCTTGCTGTGCCCTCTGATGATGAATGTAGCATCATCTGCAAATGCAAATGCCTTCACTCCTTCCGGCCACTGAGTGCACAAGATCGAATTGAACGTCACGTTTCATAGGACAGGACCAGCGCCTTATCCCTGTGGACTGCCCCTGGTCTGTTGTCTGGTAATGATTCCTCTGTCATGCACAACTATGAATTGTCTGTTGCTGAGGTAACTTTTGAAAAACTGTAAAAGATTGTTTGGAATATCAGCAGTGTGCAGAACTTCGAGCGCAGCAGGCCACCACAAGGAATCAAATGCACTTTGGAGATCTAAACTTAGTACTGCTACGTGTTGATTGTTACTGCGAGCTTCCGTGATTTCTTTCTGCAGGAGATCAAGGGCATGGACCGTTGATATGCTTTCCCTGAAACCGAATTGTAGCTGCGACAGGAATTTTTTCCGGGTGAGGTGATGCTTTAGTCTTGTGACTGCAAGTTTTTCTAAAACCTTCCCTATTGCCGACAACAAGCATATCGGGCGGAAGGAGGCTGGGTCATTCGGATGCTTCTCAGGTTTGGCAAAGAGGACTACTTGCCCCGTTTTGAATGCCACTGGAAAATACCTGTGCTCCAGCAATTTGTTGAAATACTTGCAGAGGAATCCGGGTTTTTCCTTGTGTACAGCTTTGACTATGCTGTAATCAAGCGAGTCCGGGCCTGGTGCTTTTCGCTTGGGCAGAATACGCATGATAGCGTTGACTTCCGGATCCTGAAAGGGAGGATCGTCAGTTGCCGTCGTGAAGAGCTGGTATGCCAGGTGAGAATTTTCTGTGAATTCCTCATGACTGTCGTTGGAAAGACTGCATCCAGGATCTTGGAGAGTACTGCCTCCTTTGTAGACTCTTGCTCTGGTGGTGAACTGTCAAAAAGGCGAAGCTGTGGTAGTTTAAAGACACTACCTCGTGCTATTTTGAATAGCGCACCATAAATATCGGTGTTATTAGTGCAAAAGTTTCTCCAACACGCAAGCTTTGCTTTAAGAATTGCTCTTTTATATTCCGCTTGCGCCTTTCGGTATGAGATGCTGAGTGCCAGCCTAGCTTCCTGGTCGTATTCTGCTTTCATGCGCCTTCTCATTGCGCGTGTTTTACTGCGCTGCGCTCGGAGATCTTTCGTCCACCAGTTCGGCATATGCAGCGTTTTCCGCGTCTTCAGGGAAAATGTACTATTGCAGATGTCCTGTATTGTGGAGATCAGAGAGCTGGTGAACGACTCCAGGTCCTGGGATGTAGTGCATGCTGTGAGATCTTCCTCTGCGCTGCTAAGGGAAAAACGAACTTTGTTTATGAATTGTGCAGTCTTTCGCTTTGTAAGCTTATAGCGCTTGAGGGTCATTCTCGTATGTGGATGGCAAATATTGTAAGTAATATACAAATGATCAGAGTTGGATGGTAAGTCTTGCACCACCGAGCACAGACAGCAAGTGAGTGCGCATTAAAGTCACCTGCAAGCAGATGTGACGCACTGTTATATTGTACAAGAGTTCTCTGAATTAGTTCCAAGGAGTGTGTCATGTGTTCCAAGATGGTGAAAGGTAAACATCCATGATAAGCACATTGAAGTTTAGTGTCTCTACAGCTATAGTTATTACATCGCGTGAGGCTAGAGTGATGGTGGGAGACCATTTCTGTTGGCAGCATATTATTGCTGTTCGCGTGCCTTCTGCAGTGTGCAGTGTTGCCTGAAATACAGTCAACGAGAGGGGAAATTCGGACACTCTGTTATCGTAAAGGTAAGGTTCCTGGGCTATGATGAAGTCTGTTTCCGTTTCCATGGCGTACTGAATGACTTGCGCCGTTGCTGCTCTGGCTCTTTGCAGGTTAATCTGAACTATTTTTAGTGCACTTTGGTCAATGTGTCGTATGTTGAAATCTGTCATTGGATCTGCTCGTGTAGGGAAATGACCAACAGACGTGTCTTGCGTCTGGGCGTTGCCATTATTGTCTGTGTTAATATTCCGTGGCATCTCTGACTCGTTTTGCTGTTCTCTGATACTCAGGACAGGCATGGTGGTAAGCTGGGTGCCTGGTATCGTACTGCATTCCGTGCTTATGATTTGCATCCCCACAATTGATGCATGCTGGTTTTCGTGCGTGGCAGTCTCGCACGTGGTGTGGACCTGCACAGTACGTGCAGTACTGGTATTTGCAATGACACAAGACTTGTAGGTGGCCAAGCTGTTGACATTTAAAGCAGCGCTTGATCCCGAAATATTCGCGGATGGTGTGTGCATGCCATCCTGTGTATAAATGTTTGATTCGGAGAGCTGCTGCGAAGCTATGCGGGTTACGTTCAAAGACCCATTTGACGTTCTTTTCCTTGCGTTCCTTGAGCTTGAAGAGTGGTCTAAAGGTGTTTCTTGGGGCAGCCGTGAGCAAGGTGTACTATATAACGTGGCTTTCGTCTTGCAGGGTGTTGAAAGTCTGCCGGAATTTCCGCTCTTTGTAATTGTGCCTCCAGGAGTGTGAGGTCATCCGGGGATTTGCAGAACACCTCGAAGCCGCCCTTCTTGTGCACTACAATCTTTTCCACAGCCACTGGAAGTTTAGAAATCGGCGCCTTTGCGCGTAATTCTTCTCTTAGCTCAATGTGTGAAATGTTCTTCTTTGGCGCAATCAGCAAGCTGGGCTGTTTGGTCTGTCTTAATGAGGGACTTCGTTGTTTGAGGATTTCAGCAAAGGTATGATGAGGAGGAGAAATATGAGATGCTTCTTGCAGTGTGTCTGAGTTGACAGCAACTTCTGCGTTCTTAGTAACCACGTGATCCGTATTGGTTGAGGCTTCCTTGATCTGTGGTGATACCCTACAGAAGGGACCTTCTAGTGCCAGAGACTTAAGGGCCTGTAGTGTTTCCAGTAAGCTACTCCGTATGTATAAGGGAAGCAGAGGTTTCCCTCCTCGTTTTACTTGTGCTATTCGAGTGCACTCAGCGTGCAATGTTTCAATCTTTTCTTCGTGAGACACGGCACTGGATTTTACTAGAGAATCGAGGTTGGCTGTATTTAGAACTGCAGAGGTATCTGTATTAATCATTGTCAGCCGAATTTACACTGAATCACTGAAATGTAGCACTGCTAAAATCTGTGTTACTGTCACTAGATCAGCATTCGTCAATAAGCCACTAATTCGCTAGGTCATTAATCACTTATTTTCACCAGGTAGTGAGTACTTACACTGATTCACAGTTCCGAGTGGCGCATGTGCAAGGTAAGAGGGTGTTAAGTAAAGGCACAAATCACAAAGTGTCACACGAAATTACTAAAATATAGCACATATATATACTAAAGTATAGCACAAATACTATAATATATACACTATAATAATATACACCACAGCACAAATACTATAATATAAATACTATTATTATAAGCCAAATACTACAATGTGTGTACAATTGTTACAGATATATGTATATTATAAAATGTATATACTAAACATAGCACTAATACTACAATTTACATATTATTATAATACTATAGTATAAACCAAAAAATAGCAGTTTGTAGTAGTTATTGTTTTTAATATGAAGTTTCTTTTAAGTTTAGTTAGTATGCCTTTCTTACATTTTATATATCTATGTATAGACAACTGAATTTAAATTGCAGAATTAAAGTGTTTACTGAATATTCCTTGGTTCAAATTAAATATAAGGGGGAAGAGGGGGGGAGAGAATTAGCATTGTTATGTTTAGCGAAATATAAGGAAATCAGTTGTAGCTAATTAGAGCTTGTCTAGTTAATTAGGATGAATTTACAGCTCAGAAACAAGGATTAACAGTTAATTGACAAAGGATAAATTTATGCAGTGTACAATTTAGAGGAATAAGTCAATTGTTCAATTAAATAAATGCAGAATTCAGTTCTTATTACACATGACTTAGAAATTTCTTATGATTTGAATCCTACCTTTGTAGCAATGCTTCATCTGTTATAAAACATAGAGTAATCCAATTATTAGTGAGATAAATACACACTGTCATACAAAACTGAACGCAATCGCTGTGCTTAGATGACTATGTAGTTGTTACACACTGTAACACGATCACTGCACTTAAACACACTGCGAGCGATGAGAGTTTCTTCGTTGCAACAAAGTCCAGAAAAATAAAAATAAATTTGTAGAATTTGAACCCACTGTCCGATTTTTTTTTTTTTTTTTTTTTCAATTTTCGATTTTTGGATGACTTCTGTTGTGCTGTAAAGAAATATCCTGGTTCCGATTAAAAATTACAGAAGTTATGCACATAAAGGGCAATCGTACAATTGCTATTGTTCGGATGTTTATTGTGAAGCTCCCGTTTGTTCAAGATGCAATCAGCACGGCTTGGGGGGAATACTTCCTGTTGATTGCTCGCACCACTTGCAAAAACAACTATTTTTGCGATAGTTAATTTCTTAATTAACGCACGCTGATGAAAATAGTCTCAAACTACTCCTTGTGAGATTCCGGTTCCAATGGTGTAACTTATACTTGGCTCTGATGCGCAGCGGCTCTTCTGTTGTGTCTTAAAGCACTGTACACAAAGAGTACGTACGTTTGCTGCTATAACTTTGCTAATTAATTCATAGAAAATTTACTAATTAACGTATCGGGATATACGATGTCTCAAAATGTGCACCTCATGTTCCTCTAAATGATGATACCAGAATTAGCTTGCTGTATGAATTATTTCCGCTATGATCAGGGTGATTCCAAATGTTATTCATGTAATCTCTTTGGTCATATTTCAGAAGATTATCCCTATTCCTGCAAAATTTGTGTTTTGAAAACCATTCAAGGAAATATTTCCCTAAGAATAAAAAAGAAGCTACATTAAATATGCATGGTCTTGATGACTCTTCCGTAGCAGCTGATATGTAATTGAGGAATGCTTTAATTAACAATTCTCATATTGCATCTTCAGCGATTGACACTGGAGCATCGTCATGTCTACCTAAAGAATCGGCCGCGAAAGGCCTAAGGATAAATATTTCATCGTGCAGAAAGGAACTGTTTGGTTTCGAAAATCAAAACCGTTCGATAAAAAGTCTTGGTGCGGCATTTGTGGATTTAACAATTGATGATGTAGTGGCAAAAGGTATTCTGGTATTAATTGTGCCAGATTTGGCTCATCCAGATGACTGACTGGTTGGACGAATGTTCTTAGATTTGCCACATATTGAGTCAATGATGCATATCTCCTATGTAAAAGATTATCCATTTACTGGGTTAGATTGCACTGAAGAAAATTCATGTGTTAAATTACAAGCAGATGAAACAAAGAAAATAATAAGTAACAGTAAACTTTGTGAAGTTAAAAACTGAAAAACAAGTATTCTTTCGTGCGACAAAGTATGAAGTTGATTATGCTAATCAAAATTATGTTTGAAGCAAATGTAACAAAAACAAATTTTACACCTTTGCAATGGTGGCAAGACGTACGATTGAGATGTGAAATATGCTGATCATTTTCATGTAAGCAAAGCTGATTGTCCAAAACCCTTGTATAGAAAAATACCAACTATAAAGCAAAAGCAATTTCCAAACCAAAAACCAGAGCTAGCAGACAGCTCTGGTTGGAAATCTGATTATGGTCTTGAATATGACCAACTTGAAAGCCTTACATTCCTGAGAGAAATTTTGTAACAAGGAGAGGCTACCGTTTCTATGGGATGTGCAGAAATGATTCAGATATGGAAGGACAATACGAAAAAAAAGGTTTGATAAAGCACATTTAAGCTCTATGAATGAAAGAAATTTGAATAATACTGTCAACAAAACTACGGATAAAACACCTTTTGAAACCCTACATGGCTGTTCCCTAAGATTTAACGATAGGATCCTATGAAAATTTGCTGATGAAAGTGCAGATGTATGGACTGATTCAAAAGAATTTCAAGAAGAAATGCGCAGTGTCATCGAAAGGAAACAGCATACGATGAAGGAGTACTATGGCAAGAAAAAATGCTGAACTATGACTTTGGAACCAGGTCAAATAGTTCAACCCATTGTTCGACGACCATCGAAGCCAACAGGTGAACCTACAAAAACTCAATCAAAATACAGCAGACTCTTGATTGTGACAGAAGTCCTTAGAAGTCAAGATTGATACTTACAGACTCCGCTGGAGGAAAAAGAGCGTGGTAGACTGTATACAGCAATAGCCCACATAGGTCAGCTGAAATCTTGGCATGCTAATAACCGAGATGAGTTGCATGAAGAGGAACTGGGTAACTCGTGAAGTGACAGGTAATGTGAACTTTTATTTTATTTATTTTTTTTTTTTTTAATTTTTTATTTTTATTTTTATTTTTATTTTTTTTTTTTTTTTTTTTTTTTTTTTGTCCCCAACCTATAAAGAACTTTACTGGAAAAACTTCATTAAGATTTTTTTAGAACTTTTGTTACAGAACATTTAACTTCTTATTGAAGTTTAAATGATGATTATACTGTATACAAAAATGTGGATTTGTATGGTATTGCCAACAATGTTTGATAAAAAAAAAGTGGGACAATAGAGGGCAATTGTTTAGTCAGGATGCCCGAATGCTAGCATTTTCCACAATGTACTGCCAGATGGCGTCATGATATTGAAAGATATTCAAAGCATTTGTACTAATAAAAACAAGAGATCAAGAATATAACCATGGCAACAGATGATATTAATTACTTGTGCATTTTTTAAAAGATAAGTAGAATAAAGTATTTTGATGATGTTGGTTGTGAATTTCTTGTCCTGATAAATAACTCCAAAATGATACACATAGTGTATATAAATGTAAGAGAAATATTCTGATGCCAACATTCCTAACATTAAAAACATTAAACAGATATTTAAAAAATAAAAAAATAAAAATATCGCACAGACACCAATAAATAAATAAAACATCAGTTCTTTAACATAACTTTTCTTCATGTGCATATGTTAACGCCTCCACCAGCATCTCGTCGGCATAAGCAATTCCATTAAATATCTGTTCGTTTTGGCTCATCCACTGTTAATAGTGGATAAATACATATAATAGCATTCAAGAAAGCCATAGTCGTATCTGGAATAATCTACTCATTTATAACACAAAGCAAACTTTCAGGCACCATTTTCATAAGACATTACGCATATGCAACCAAACATAGCAATTGAAAATCTCCGGTTCATACGAAAGGGTTACTGTTACAAAAAATAGCCAAAATCTCAACTTATCACAACACATTTGACAATATTCGCGATTTTCTCGCAAGACTAGTTTCACCAAC